GCTGCCGCCGCCTTCCGCCCCGGGTTCGCCGCCTTTTTGAGGGACGCCGCCGGCAATGGCGGCGGCGGCGCGACCGTGGCGGTGCTGTCGGTTAACTGGTCCGCGGCCTTCATCCGCGGCGTGGTGTCCATGTGCGACGGGCCGGGCGGGGGCAGGGACGGGGCCGCCGCCGTCGTCTCCGAGGTCATCAGCAACGACATCATGGCGGACGGTTCCATCGGCGGGCCGCTGGTGAGGGGTCCGGAGGGGGAGGGAGGCGGTGGCGACAGGCACGCGGCCCTGACGACGTCGGCGGACAAGCTTAGGGCGTTCCTGGACAGACGTGACAGCAGAGGCGGCAGCGGGGCGAGGACGACCGTCTACTTTGGGGACTCCACCACGGACCTGGAGTGCCTCCTGGAGGCGTCGGCCGGCGTCGTCATGGCGGACGAAGGCGGGGCCGAGGGCAGCAGTGCCTTGCTCAGGTGCCTGTCCAGGCTCGGGTTCCACGTGCCCCACGTCTCCGAGGCGGCGGCGGCGGCGGCGGCGGCCGGACTACCGCCGCCGCGGCTGGCGTGGGCCAGGGACTTTTGCGAGGTCATGGACAGCGGCCACCTGGCCAAGCTCGCCGCCGCGGGGACGGCATCCCCCGCCCCTAGAGAGGAGGAGGAGGGGTCGGTTGCGGAAGCGAACGCGAGGGCTGCGTCTCTAGAAAGGTAGCGGGCGTCCTCCGGGGTCGGACGGCTTTGTTGTTTAACTGTCCTTTTTGGGCCCGAGTCGCGAGGAGGGGGAGGGATGAAAAGAGAGCAAACGCAAACTAACCTGGACGACAAGGTCTGAAGCAGTCCGGCTGATGCTTGCCAGCTTATCCCCCCTGCGTCGCGGCCATATCCGAACGCGGCCATGCTTTCTTTCACAATATGTTCCCGATGTCTGGCGCGCCTCGTATCCCAAACGCATTGCTTGAAAAAAAAGGAATGGTTGCACGAGGGGGATGCGCAAAGTCTTTCGGGAGAAATCAGGTGCCCCCAACTTGGCGCCAGTAAAAATGGTTTGGTGAGGAAAACATCCACTCCATGGCTGGCGCTCCTTTCTTTTTGCCCCCATTCTTGTTGATAGCCGGTGTTATCCGACCTTCTCAACTGGAAGACTACTCAGCTCGACGCTTGGAGGAATGTTACCATTCCTTGGGCATGCCCTGGGGCTTCACATTCACACCTACGAGTTGAACTTTGTCAACGCCGTCCCGTCCTCAACTCCATCCACTATAATAGTGGCAGCGTTTGGCTTCGCCGTCATTTGCCTCTGTTTAATGGGCCATAAGCAGCCGCATTCCTCTCCAAAGTCAACTAGCAATTTTCCGCCCGTTAATTTCCTTCCCATGCAGGCAGCCTTGTTGTGCCAAACCACTTCCATTTTTCTTCTTTTCTTTTTGTTTTTTATCCCCCACCCCCTTTGTGTGTCACACATCCCCCATCTGCGGCTTCATCATCCCATCTCGATTCTTCTTCTTCTTGCCTGTGACAGCACCAGCCCACCCGGCGCAGGCCCGAACGCGCCTCGAGATGACGGGAAACTCTACCCAGCCCTCCCCTGAAGCTTCTGGGCCGCTCCCGCCCCCTTGTCGACGCAGACGCGGCGCAGGATTCCGCCCCCTCCTCTCCTCCAGAGGCGTCCTGTTTCCATTTTGGGGACCGTCTCTGTCACCCGTGTTTTTACTTTTTTACTTTTCTCTCCTCCCTTCTTTTCATGTTTGCTTCCCCACCTCCCGAGACAGAGAACGTCATATCATCTACCGTGTTTGTTTATCACCCTCAGCTCGGCCTGCTAGCGCACAAACACGAGTTGCTACCCTGCACCCAGGATCAAACAACAACGCATCAGCCAACTGACAGCTAAGCTCCCCCGTGTTGTCCGCCATGTAAATCGTGCGGCTGCCGTGAGCTGTGGAAGGTCTTGCCCTATTCTGCACTGCCGCCAGTCTCGTTGTCTTGCCTGTCCTTTTTTTGGCCTTGGGCCTAGATTATCCGAGTTCAGATAGACACCCGAGACAGCTGGGACGGACCAGTCCAGGAGAGGCTATCACCAAGTATCAGAAAGCCGCCCAAAAAGACCACCCTGCACACATCGCAACAACAAGAGAGCAGAGAAAAGCGACACACCGCTCGCACTGCACACCACAGCACGAGAAACCTTCCCAAAGAAAAAGAAAGGGGGACATGTGCTGGCATAGGCGTGTCATATTCGGGGACTGCAACCACGGTTACTGGGGTCCCCAGACGGCCGAGTGCCCGGCCGCCGCCTCTTCTTCCTCCTCCTCCTCCTCCTCCTCCTCCTCCTCCTCCTCCTCCTCCTCCTCCCCTTGCGCCACGGCGGCGACGGCAGC